GCGTGAGCCACTGTGCCCAGCCTGCAAGTCCACTTTCAAATAACACTATACTGTGTTATAGGTAGTACAGACATCTTATAAATACAGAATATTATTCTTCCCTCCTGTCCTTTGTATTACTACTGTCATTCATTCAACTTACACATAAGCATATATAATCAAATATATTGTTGCTATTATTATTTTGAACCAGCGGTTATCTCTTAGATTGATTAAGAATAAGAAAGAGGCTGGATGTAGTGGTTCATGCCTATAATCCCAGCACTTTGGGAGGCTGAGGCAGAAGGAGTGCTTGAGGCCAAAAGTTCAAGACTAGCCTGGGCAACATAATGAAACCCTGACTCTACAAAAAATTAAAAAATAAGAATTAGCTGGGCATGGTGGTGAACACCTGTAGCCCTAGCTACTTGAGAGGCTAAAGTGGGAGCCCAGAAGGTCAAGCCTGCAGTGAGCTCTGATCCTCACCACTGCACTCAAACCTGGGCAACAGAGTGAGCCCTCGTCAAATAAATAAATAAGAAAATTAAGCTTTTATTCTACCTTCACTTACTCATTCTTTGATGTACTTCCTTTCTTTATGTAGATCAGAGTTTCCGACTTAGAACATTTCTCTCTCTGCAAAGAACTTCTTTAAACATTTCTTGTAAGGCAGGTCTATTGACAACAAATTCCCTCAATTTTTGTTTGAGAAAATTTTTATTTCTCCTTCACTATTGGATAGTTTCACAGGTTATAGAATCCTAGGTTGGTGGCTTTTTTTCTCTCAATACTTTAAATATTTCACTTCACTTTCTTCTTGCTTACATAGTTTCTGAGAAGTACGATGTCATACTTCTCGTTGCCCCTCTATAGGTAAGATGTTTTATCCCCTGGCTTCTTTCAAGATTTTTTTTTCTCTTTAATTTCTGAAGTTTGAATATGATATGCCTGGTTTTAGGGGTTTTTGTGGGTTTTTTTGTTTTGTTTGTGGGGTTTTGTTTGTTTTGGTATTTGTCCTGCTTGGTGTTCCCTGAGCTTCCTGGATCTGTGGTATACTGTCTGACATTAATTTAGAAAACTTCTCAGTCCCTATTCCTTCAAATATTGCTTCCGTTCCCTTCTCTCTTTTCCTCTCCCTCTGATTTTCACATTATTCATACATTATGCATTTTGTAGTTGTCCCATGGTTCTTGAGCTTTCTGTTTTGTTTTTCTCAGTCTTTTATTTTTTCTTTTCAGTTTTAGAAGTTTCTGTTGACATAGCCTCAAGATTTAGAGATTCTTTCTTCAGCCATCTCCAGCCTACTAATTAGCCCATAAAGGCATTCTTCATTTCTGTTACAGTGTTTCTGCTACAATCCTTACCAAAAAAATGTGGTCTCTAGCAATTCTTTTGTATTTTCTTAGAATTTCTATCTCTCTGCCTACTTTATTCATTTGTTCCCGCATGTTGTCTACTTTTTACATTAAAGCCCTTAGCATATTAATCATAGTTTTTAAGAATTCCTGTTCTGGTCATTGCAACATTCCTGCCATATATGACTCTAGTTCTGATGCTTGTTCAGGCTCTTCAAACTGTGTTTTTTGCCTTTTCTTTTTCTTTTTTTGTGACAGAGTCTCACTTTGTCACTCAGGCTGGAGTGCAGTGACATGATCTTGGCTTATGGCAACCTCTGCCTCCCGAATTCCACCGATTCTCCTGCCTCAGCCTCCCAAATAGCTAGGACTACAGGCACATGCCACCATGCCTGGCTAATTTTTATATTTTTAGTAGAGACCGGGTTTCACCGTGTTGGTCAGGCTGGTCTTGAACTCCTGACCTCAAGCAGCCACCCACCTCAGCCTCCCAAAGTGCTGGGATTACAGGCATGAACCACCATGTCAGGCCTGCTTTTTGCCTTTTAATGTGCCTTGTAATTTTTTGTTGAAAGATGGACATGCTATACTGGTAAAAGGAACTGCAGTAAACAGGCCTTTAGTGATGGTAAGGTATGGGGCAGTGGAAGCATTCAATAGTCTGTGACTAGGTCTCCGTCATTTAGTAAACCTATGTCCCTGGACCCTGAACTATAAAATTCACCAATGTTTCTCAATTTCCACCACTCCCATCCTCGACCTTAGCTGGAACAGAATGGCTAGAAAGGTCTGGAATTAGGTATTTCCCTTCTCCCAGGTAGATGAGGCTCTGATAAAACACCAGCAGGTTAGGCTCTGGTAAAATAGTTTCTCCTGGCCAGGCAGGGTGGCTCACTCCTGTAATCCCAGCACTTTGGGAGGCTGAGGTGGGCAGATCACCTGAGGTCAGGAGTTCAAGACCAGCCTGGCCAACATGGTGAAACCCCGTCTCTACTAAAAATACAAAAAAATTGGCCAAACGAGGTGGCATGCACCTGTAGTCCCAGCTACTTGGGAGACTGAGGCTGGAGAATCGCTTGAACCTGGGAGGTGGAGGTTACAGTGAGCTAAGATCTTGCCACTGCACTCCAGCCTGGGCAATAGAGCAAGACTCCGTCTTAAAAAAAAAAAAAAAAGTTTCTCCTAAGGCAATCCTCGTTAAGAATACTCTAGCATATTTCAAAATGGTTCCTTTGCTGGCCGGGCGTGGTGGCTCAAGCCTGTAATCCCAGCACTTTGGGAGGCCGAGACGGGTGGATCCACGAGGTCAAGAGATCGAGACCATCCTGGTCAAAATGGTGAAACCCCGTCTCTACTAAAGATACAAAAAATTAGCTGGGCATGGTGGCGCGTGCCTGTAATCCCGGCTACTCAGGAGGCTGAGGCAGGAGAATTGCCTGAACCCAGGAGGCGGAGGTTGCGGTGAGCCAAGATCGTGCCATTGCACTCCAGCCTGGGTAACAAGAGCGAAACTCTGTCTCAAAAAAAAAACCAAAATGGTTCCTTTTCCTTCCCCATCCCAGAAGCATGAGGAGATTTTTCTCTGATATTCTTTGTGAGTTCCTAGTAGAGTTCCTGAAAGTAAAACTCACAAAAGTGTGAGGACCCCCCATGACGGGGTCCCCTTGGAGTTTTATCTCTCTCAGGCAGCGCACACTGAGCCTCCTGCAGCCCATCAAGGCTTTCCTACCCCAGTACAGATTCCTGAGGAAGTGTGTGTTCACAGGTTTCTGGTCTGGTAAATTATGACTCTCTGTATCTACCTGTCTGTCCTTCCAATTTTAGCGGCAGTGGTTTTGCCCTGTGACCAGATTTCTCTGACAGATCTAAAAAGAGTTATTGTTTTTCCATTTGTTCAGCTTTTGACTTGTTAGAATAAAGACTTCTAGGCTGGTGCGCTGGCTCACGCCTGTAATCCCAGGACGTTGGGAGGCCGGGGCTGGTGAATCACCTGAGGTCAGGAATTGTCTTAGACCAGCCTGGCCAACATTGCAAAACCCCATCTCTGCTAAAAATACAAAAATTAGCCAGGTGTGGTGGTAGGTACCTATAATAACAGCTACCTGGGAGGCTGAAGCAGGAGAACCGCTTGAACCCAGGAGGCGGAGGTTGCAGTGAGCTGAGATTGTACCACTGCACTCCAGCCTGGGCAACAAGAGCAAGACTCTGTCTCAAAAAAAAAAAAAGAATAAAGCCTTCTAAATTTCTTACATGTTGGACAGAAATTGGAAGTCCTTTGTGCACTTTCCAACCTTGCTGGCCTGTTTCTGTGGCAATGGGCAATTCCCAGAGAAGAACTGCTAGGCAGACTTTTTCTTTCTTTCTTTCTTTCTTTTTTTTTTTTTTGACAGAGTCTCTCTCTGTCACCCAGGCTGGAGTGCAGTGGCATGATCTCAGCTCACTGCAACCTCCACCTCCCAGGTTCAAGAGATTCTCCTGCCTCAGCCTCCTGAGTAGCTGGGATTACAGGGGTGCGCCACCATGCCCTGATAATTTTTGTATTTTATTAGTAGAGTTGGGGTTTCACCATGTTGCCCAGGCTAGCATTCACTTGTTTTTATTTAACAACTATTTATTATGTGCTTACTGTAGTGCCAGGCCCTGTTCTGGTGCCAGGGATGTGGCAGTGAACGAGTCAGCTAAAAGTCTTATTCTCAAAATGAAAGTACTGGGAACGACCAGTTCAGTAATAAACTTCTACAGATGCTGTAGTCCCAGGCAGCAGAGCTTTCTAGAGGATTCCAATGCAGGAGGCAAAACAGGTCCCTTAGTGGATACTGATCACAGCCACCTTGGCCAAAGTCACACCACCCCCAACGCCTGCCCTGCCATGTAACAACTGGAGTGGTTATTCTACTTCCAAGGAAAGGGGCTGGGTACGGAGGCTCACACCTGTAATCCCAGCACTTTGGGAGGCCGAGGTAGGAGGATCACTTGAGCCCAGGAGTTCAAGACCAGCCTGGACAACATAGGAAGACCTTGTCTCTACAAAAAAAAATTTAAAAATTAGCCAGGCATTGGCTGGGCACAGTGGCTCACACTTATAATCCTAGCACTTTGGGAGGCCAAGGAGGGTATATCACAAGGTCAGGAGTTCAAGATCAGCCTGGCTAAGATGGTGAAACCCCGTCTCTACAAAAATTAGCCAGGTGTGGCGGCAGATGCCTATAATCCCAGCTACTTGAGAGGCTGAGGCAGGAGAATCGCTTGAACCCAGGCAGCAGAGGTTGCCAAGAGATCGCTCCACTGCACTCTAGCCTGGGTGACAGAGTGAGACTCCGTCTCAAAAAAAAAAAAGATTACTGGGGTTAGAAATTCCCAGCTGCAGCCTTTTCATCTGGGCACCACAAACACAGCAGTCCCAGGAGCAAGAAACTAGCTTGGCATCAACTCCGCATCCCTACTGAATGGCATCAGGAAAATTCAGTGTGCCTGTAGATTTTTGAAGGATGTACTTTGCACTTCCCCTGATGTAATAAGAAAATACTGTTTTTAAATTTTAATTTTGTTTATAATCTAACCTGAAGGTACTAGGGAGGCATGAAGAGGCCTGGTTGGTACTTAAAATAATCTATTAGAGCTTTAGAAATGAAATTAATGTTTTAATCTTGGTCATATGTTTCACAGGCTCAGAAAAAATGTCTGAATCAGACTTCCCCCATTTCTGCTCCCAAGACCACAGACGGCCTGAGGCAAGCACAGATCTCTGGGCTCTTGAGCACCGCACTGCCAGGTCAGGAGCTTCCTCAGTTTGTCCCTGCCCTCCCAATACACATGGGATGCTCTTCCCACTCTTCTCCCTCATTCTGCAAGAAAGCTTTCTGGCTTAATCTCGCCTCCACTCTGATCATTCCTTTTTTCTGCATCCTTTCCGCCTAGATAATATACTCTGTTGCATCAACTCTAAGATAGTATCAATTGTAAGATGTACTATCATTTTTTATACTACCAACAAGAAAAAAAAAAAGCACTTCTAACTAAATTATGACACATTAAATTATGTGCGGGGCGGGTGGGGGGGGGGGCGCGGGAATGCTTCTTAGAAACAATGTATTTGGGCCGGGTGTGGTGGCTCACACCTGTAATCCCAGCACTTTGGGAGGCTGAGATGGGCAGATCACAAAGTCATGAGTTCAAGACCAGCCTGGCTAACATAGTGAAACCTGTCTATACTAAAAATACAAAAATTAGCCAGGCCTGGTGGCGCATGCCTGTGGTCCCACCTTCTTGGGAGGCTGAGGCAGGAGAATCGCTTGAACCCGGGAGATGGAAGTTGCTGGGAGCCGAGATCACGCCACTGCACTCCAGCCTGGGCAACAGAGTGAGACTTAGTATCAAAAAAAAAAAAAAAGAAAGAAACAATTAATTTGGTATTTGGTGGGGGAGGTGGTTCACACCTGTAATCCCAGCATTTTGGGAGGCCAAGGCAGGTGGATCACTTGAGGTCAGGAGTTTGAGACCAGTCTGGCCAACATGGTGAAACCCACCCCATCTCTATCAAAAAGTACAAAAGTTAGCTGGGGTGCAATGGCATGCACCTGTAGTCCCAGCTACTCGGGAGGCTGAGGTGGGAGAATCACTTGAACCTGGGAGGCGGAGGTTGCAGTGAGCCAAGATCACGCCACTGCACTCCAGCCTAGGTGACAGAACAAGACCCAAAAAAAAAATTTTTTTTAAAGGTATTTTATAGTGCTTGTGACTTTGTAATTATCCCCATTATCTCCATGTTGCTCTCTATATGCATATTTGGAATTCTCCACCCAGACTGAAAATATTATGGACTATGTCTTCCATTTTTCCTAAGGCTTTGAACATCTGCAGTACCCAATTAGTACTTTAAAAAAATGCAAGAAAGAAAGAAATTTAAATATTCCCAGTCAATTGCCTCTTTGGCTGTTTGGGCCTCCCTTTCCTTAAATTTTACTTTGGGGTTCTGTAGTGCTGACAGATTACTGGCATGAGGCCTGTTTTTCAGACTAAAACTAACTTGAAACTATAGCATTTAGAGCTTCTATTTATTACTATTTACTTATTTATTACTTAAATAGGCTTTAATAACCTCTTCCTTTAGAGCTTGTAAATAAATGCACCCTGCCCTCCCTCCTCACAGCAAGCATCCGTGATAAAGAAACCCATTTCAGAATGCTCAGCAGTCTGTACTCATTGGGCCCTAGGGTTATATGATGGACCCAGTTTACTGTTTCTTTTGAACACTATCTTATGTATTCTAATAGGACAGGATTCTGGAAGCAAAGTTATGTCGGCGTCCTTAGGAACCGTACCACCACAGCAGGAAAAAGTAGTTGGATCATCTCCTGGCCATCCAGCTGTGCAGGTAGAAAACTATTGGCATGGCCTCTTCCTAATGTTTAGCATAATTGAATGAAAATGTAGTTGTGTCATGTTTATGGTTGCTGGCTAGTGTTGTGTGCACAGTCCACCCGGTCCCCTGTGTGCCCACAACAGGGTGGTCACTGAAGACCTTCCTGATGGGCTGGGCCTTGTAATGTTTATGTTTCTGAGATGAATGTCTGTTCTATTTCTGACATGTTTACAGTGCTTCATTAATCCACCATTTCCTCATGAATTAGTAATATGCCAGCAGCTAGTACATACTAGGCACTCAAAAAATGCCATTTACTATTGGGTGGTATCGCTCACTATTGTATCAAAGTGGATCTGTTCTTAGTTATGCTGAGGGACTTTTTCTTCTGTAGTAGTAACCAGAAGTATAGGAAGTAGGCAGTCCCTACAGTCTTTTGACCCAACTTTGACACTTTTTTAAGTCTAACTTGTTGTTGTTTGTTTGAGACAGGGTCTCACTCTGTCACCCAAGCTGGCATGCAGCGGGATGATCACAGCTCACTGGAACCTCAACCTCCCAGGTTCAGGTGATCCTCCTGCCACAGCCTCCTGGGTAGTTAGGACAATATCCAGCTGCTTTTTTGTATTTTTTGTAGAGAAAGGGTTTTGCCACATTGTTCATGCCTGTCTCAAACTCCTGAGCTCAAGCCATCCACCTGCCTTGGCCCCCACAAAGTGCTCAGATTACAGGCATGAGCCACTGTGCCCCACCTAGTCTGGTTTCTTCTTTTAGTTTTACTGCTTTGTTTTATTTTGTTTTGTTTTAAGTTGGGATCTCGCCCTGTCACCCAGACTGGAGCGCAGTGGTGTGAATCAAGCTCATTGAAGCCTTGCTCTCCTGGGCTTACGTGATCCTCTCACCTCAGCCTCCTGAGTAGCTGGGACTCCAGGCACACACCACCATGCTTGGCTAATTTTTTTATATTTTTAGTAGAGAAAAGGTTTTGCCATATTGGCCAAGCTGGGCTCAAGCAGTTCTCTCACCTCAGCCTCCCAAAGTGCTAGGATTACAGGCTTTAGCAACCATGCCTGGCCTAGTTTTTTTTGTTTGTTTGATACGTGATAGATGTACATATTTTCAGGGCACATTCAATAACTTTGGCTTTGGCTTTTAAGCCTAAAATATTTCAAACTAGTAGTCTAAAAAGGGAGGAAACCTTTCTTGTTTTCAGCTTACTAAGACCATGGTTTCTTCTTCCTCAGACCTACCAAGTAGTAGTTTACTGAAACTTGCTGCAGTGTGGGACTGCCTAGAATACACAGTGAAGACTCTGTTCAGTTCTCGGGTTCTGAGATAAGGCAGAACAAAAGATGTAAAAAATGCCCCTTTAGATCACACACCTGGACTATATATAACAGGAGCTTAAAAGTGTGTATATCCCGTACTTATCCCTGAGAAGGTGGATTAGATAGTATCTACTGACTTTTCAGATATTTGTGGAATTTTTTAAAAAATGTAACGATGGGTTGGCAGAGTGGCTCACACCTGTAATCCCAACACTTTTGGGGAGGCCAAGGTAGGCAGACGGCTTGAGTCCAGGAGTTCGAGACAAGCCTGGGCAATATGTCAAAACTCTGTCTCTACAAAAAATACAAAAAAAAAATTAACAGGCATGGTGGTGCACACCTGTAGTCCCAGCTACCTGGGAAGCTGAGGTAGAAGGATTGCTTGAGCCTGGGAAGCAGAGGTTGCAGTGAGCTGTGATTGTACCACCACACTCCAGTCTAAATGACATAGTAAGACCCTGTCACACACACACACACAAAATGATGATTATGATAATGATGATCATGCATTTAGAGAGGAGTTAGGGATTCAGGCTTTAAATTGCAAACCGAGTCCTTTTCAGGAACTGATTATACAGCTTTCTGTAATCTTAACACAGTATAACTTTGCTTTATGGAGTCCATGCAATGTTTTTTGGTTTTTTTTTTCCCCCAGCAGGGCACATTCTATAGTCTTAGAATATGTTCTTGATTGGTAGTTGAAAATATGTGAATTATAGTAACCTTTATGTATAACTGTATTCATTTTTCTACAAAAGGGAATAATAAGAGGTATGTTTTGTCTTTAGGTGGATAGTCATTCGGGAGGACAAAAAAGGCCTGCTGCAAAACAGCTAACTAAAGGAGCTTTGTGAGTTACTGACAAATCAATGTCGAACATTCCTCTGGGTCCCTAACCTTCAGTAAATATACTACAGAGGTCAGATTACAATAATGAGCATATGAGCCTTTTTAAAAATATACTTTGGGGCAGGGCATGATGGCTCATGCCTGTAATCTCAGCACTTTGGGAGGCTAAGGGAGGAGGATTGCTTGAGCCCAGGAGTTCGAGTGAACCCCGGGCAACATGGCGAGACCCTGTCTCTTCAAAAAATACAAAAATTAGCTAGATGTGGTGGTACAAGCCTGTAGTCCCAGCTACTCAGGAGGCTGAGGTGGGAGGATGGCTTGAGTCCTGAGGTGGAAGTTGCAGTGAATCTGAGATTGTGCCACTGCACTCCAGCCTGGGTGACAGAGCAAGACCGTATCACAAAAAAAAAAAGTACTTTGAAAATATTTTTCTGTACTTTATTTTCATTAAAACTTATAAATATATTAAATGTAGTTTTAGCCTCTACTGTTTGCTCTTTTCTTCTTAAGGAGAATAGTTCTATGTCTTTTCAGAAACAAAGCTTCTCTGAGGAAAAGCATTGTTTGATAAACTTCCATGTTTAGAACAGAAATGTTGGCATGAGCTTAGTTGGCCAATGGTCAGGCACTGCCAAGGTTTATGGGGGTGCCAACACATAAGTGCTTTTGAGGTCAGGATCATAGTTTGAGTCTTCTGTGGAGCTAAACTGAGCTATCAACCCACTATGGTAGAAAAAATATAAAACTGAAGAAAAAACTGCCGTACTATTCCTGTATATCTTATTTGCTTTGCATGTAAATAAATGTGATTAGATTTTACTTCCTAACATGACTCTATATTGACATTGGCCATTTCTCTTGTAAAGCATTCTCCAGCAGTTGCAGAGGGACCAAGCCCACACTGTGACACCGGACAAAAGTCACTTCCGATCACTAAGTGATGCGGTACAGAGACTGCTCTCCTACCACGTGTGCCAGGGCTCCATGCCCACTGAGGAAGACTTGAGGAAAGGTAAGCAGGCCCCGGAACCCTACAGCACCACCCTGATACCAGGCACCCTCCCATGACCACCCCCCAGAAGAGCAAGAGCCACATCACCCCCAGATGGTAGGCAGGTTATTGTTTTTAATCACAGACCAAACTTGTTCCCTAGTTACCTAATTTCCCAGTTCATGTTTAAGGTTGTAACTTAAACTAAATAATATTTTTTGAAGGGAAGCCAGGTACGGGGGCACACACCTGTAGTCCCAGCTACTCAGAAGGCTAAAGCAAGATAATCACCTGAGCCCAGGAGTTTGAGAGTATAGTGTGCTATGATCACGCCTGTAAATAGCCATTGCACTCCAGCGTGTCTCTTAAAAAAAAATTGTTAGGAGGATACCCTAATGTCAGAGGTTTTTGTTTGTTTGTTTGATTGGTTTTTATTGGTTTTTTGAGCCTTGCTCTGTTGCCAGGCTGAACTGCAGTGGCGTGATCTCAGCTCACTACAACTTTTACCTCCTGGGTTCAAGCGATTGTCCTGCCTCTGCCTCCCAAGTAGCTGGGATTACAGGCATCCACCACCACACTCAGCTAATTTTTGTATTTTTAGTAGAAACAGGGTTTCACCATGTTGGCCAGGCTGGTCGCAAACTCCTGACCTTGTGATCTACCCACCTCGGCCTCCCAAAGTGCTGGGATTACAGGCATGAGCCACCTTGCCCAACCAATGTCAGAGTATTTTATTGACAAATTGGTGGCAGTAAATCCAAAACTTTGTGTGGACTGCTGGCTCCAGATGAAATAACTGTGCACTAGACACTCCATACAGTGGTTTGGCATAATCCTTGCCTTTAGGCAGTATGCATACCCTGAACTGGTTTGTTTGTTTGTTTGCTTATTTTTGAGACAATAGTCTCACTCTCTCACTGCTGGAGTGCAGTGGCACGATCTCGGCTCACTGCAGCCTCCACCTCCTGGGTTCAAGTGATTCTCCCTGCCTCAGCCTCCTGAGTAGCTGGGATTACAGGCGTGTGCCAACACGCCCAGCTAATTTTTGTATTTTTCAGTAGAGATGGGTCCACGTTGGCCAGGCTGGTCCTGAACTCCTGACCTCAAGTGATCGGCCCACCTCGGCCTCTTGAAATGCTGGGATTAGAGGCGTGAGCCTCTGTGCCCAGCCAAACTGTTTCTAGTTTTATGAATTAGGTGCTTAAGCTCCCAGAAGTATTCTCTGAGGTTCCAAAATGAGTCCATGGCATTGGCCACACATGAAGAAACTAACAAAAATGTTAGATAAGGGCCAAGTGCAGTGGCTCACACCTGTAATCCCAGCACTTTGGGAGACCAAGGGAGGCCGATCACCTGAAGTCAAGACCATCCTGGCCAACATGGTGAAACTCCGTCTCTACTAAAAATACAAAAATTAGCTGGGCGTGGTGGCACACACCTTCAGTCCCAGCTACTTGGGAGGCTGAGGCAGGAGAATTGTTTGAACCCAGAAGGCAGAAGTTGCAGTAAGCCAAGATCACACCACTGCACTCCAGCCTGGGTGACAGCAACACTCTGTCTCAAAAAGAAAAAATAAAATTGGAGATAAGGGCTCCCTCCCCCAATCTGGAACTCCTCCTGTCCCAATGCCTGGCCATGCACTTTCCCACCACACCACCAAGGCCTGGCTGTATCAGTGTCCTCCTCTTTTCTAATCCCTTCCTCAGCTGCTACAAGTCTTCTCCTCCTAGCCTCTGATCTCTGGGCACAGTGGTTTCCGTGGGTCCACTGTGGACTTCCCTAGGACACCAGGTAATAGGGTCAAGATCCAGCCTTAAACAGGGGGTGTGAAGACTGAGAAGAAGAGTGAATTAGAAGGTTTTCAAATCTTTGGAGACCAACAGACAGAGGACAGAGCCACATGACCATGACGATTTAATATAAAGCTGTGTCTTCATTTGTTTCAGCTACTTTAGTTTTTCATACCATTAGGCTTAGGTCATCTAAACTAGCAGATCATTCTCTATTCACTGATATTTATTGTGAGTCTGTTAATGGTGTTATTTTATAGGTGATATCAAAGTAATTATGTTCTTGGTTTCCTAAAGTTAAAAAAGCTAGTACTGAAATGAGTTTCCATGACCTGTGGACAGTGAGGGAAAGCAGTGTAGAAGGATGATGCTTAGCCAGGAAAAAGCTCGTCTAAGAAGAGAAAATTTCCCCAGATAAGCCATGTTTGAATGATGGAAGAGTAATGCATTTCAGTCTTAAGAAACAGAAGACCTAGTCAGTGATTTACACTCTCTTACTATTTCTCTCTCTCTCTCTTTTTAAAGTGGACAATGAATTTGAAACAGTTGCCACTCAGCTCCTAAAAAGGACCCAAGCTATGCTTAACAAATACAGATGCCTGCTCCTAGAAGATGCCATGGTAAAAGTCATGCTACTGATACTTGTTTTTTTTAAAACTTTATAGGTCACAGACACTAAATCAGAGATAAAAAGTTCAAGGAATTATAGAATATAATATAAAAGGCACAGATATTTCACACTCTAGAAAACTTACACTAGGCTAGGTGTGGTGGCTCACGCCTGTAATCCCAGCACCTTGGGAAGCCTGGGCAGGCAGATCACAAGGTCAAGAGATCGAGACCATCTGGCCAACATGGTGAAACCCTATCTCTACTAAAAATACAAAAATTCGCCAAGCGTGGTGATGCCTGCCAGTCCCAGCTACCCCGGAGGCTGAGGCAGGAGAATCGCTTGAACCCGGGAGGCAGAGGTTGCAGTGAGCCAGGATCATGCCACTGGACTCCAGCCTGGTGACAGAGCGAGACTCCCTCTCAAAAAAAGTAAAAAGAAAAGAAAAACTTACACTTAGCTGCTACAAAACAGCAATGAACATTTGCTGCACTTTACTTGGTGGGTCAGTACTATTCTCTTTTTAACAAATAAGGAAACCAGGGCTTTGGTTAAGTAATTTGCCTGAGATCAGATAGCTAAGAAGTTTGCAGAGTCATTAGTAGAGACTCTAATGCTGTCTACTGCCTTTCACCACCCCAGAGATGTGGGAGAAGGACTGGAGGCACATCTGAAAAGATAAGCTGGTGACAAATGTCAAAATTAGTTTTATTATTAATTGAGAGATCACTGACATACCATAAAATTAACATTTAAAGTATACAACTCAGGCCAGGCACGGTGGCTCATGCCTGTAATCCCAGCACTTTGGGAGGCCAAGGCAGGTGGATCACCCGAGGTCAAGAGTTCGAGACCAGCCTGGCCAACATGGTGAAACCCTGTCTCTACTAAAAATACAAAAATTATGCCAGGCACAGTAGCTCACACCTGTAATCTTAGCACTTTGGGAAGCTGAGGTGGGTGGATCACCTAAAGTCAGGAGTTCAAGACCTGGCCAACATAGTGAAAATCCATCTCTACTAAAGATACAAGAATTAGCCTGTAATTCTAGCTACTTGGGAGGCTAAGGCAGGAAAATCGCTTGAATCCAGGGGGCGGAGGTCGTAGGGAGCAGAGATCACGCCACTTCACTCCAGCCTGGGCAAAAGAGTGAATCTGTGTCAAAAAAAAATTAGCCAGGCATGCTGGTGCACACCTGTAGTCCCAGCTACTCAGGAGACAAAGGTTGCAGGGAGCCGAGATCGCACCACTGCACTCCAGCCTGGGCAACAAAGTGAGACTCTGTCTCTCTTAAAAAAAAAAAAAAAAAAAAAAAAAAAAAAGGCCAGCACAGTGGCTCATGCCTGTAATCCTAGCAATTTGGGAGGTCGAGGCAAGCGGATCATGAGGTCAAGAGATCGAGACCATCCTGGCCAACATGGTGAAACCCTGTCTCTACTAAAAATATAAAAATCAGCTAGGTGTGCTGGCACATGCCTGTAGTCCCAGCTACTCAGGGGGCTGAGGCAGGAGAATCGCTTTAACTCAGGATGTGGAGGTTGCGGTCAGCCAAGATCCCGCCACTGCACTCCTGTCTGGCGACAGAGTGAGACTCCATCTCAAAAAAAAAAAAAAAAAATTGTTTGCATTTTGACAGCCATTTCTGAAACAAAACTCTGAGACATCAAAAAAGGCCAGCTCCATTGTTTGTGAGGAAAACAATACTGGCCATGAATCTGCCATGAATTTTCATGTTAAATAATACCCAGTCCAATACTAAGTGGAAAAGAAATTTAAAAATAATAATAAAAATAAAATGAAAGACCCAAAAATATAATTTAAGATTTGATCCTGTTAATAGCAAAAGCTTTAATAAAAAGGAAAGCTTTACTAAAAACACAATTAAGGCATAGCAGAATATAAAGTAAAAGGTCATCCTAATGAAAAGATTTCTAAAATATATTATTAAGTAGAAGAGAAAAAAATACAGAACAGTATATATAGTTGCTACTATTTGGGTACAAAAATAAAGAAGTGTGTATATATATAAAGTATATACATATATATTTTTTCTTCTTCTTCTCTTTTGAGACAGAATCCCACACTGTCACCCAGGCTGGAGTGCAGTGGCAGGGATCTTGGCTCACTGCAAGCTGCGCCTCCCAGGTTCAAGCAGTTCTCCTGGCTCAGCCTCCTGAGTGGCTGGGATTACAGGCATGCAGCACCATGCCTGGCTAATATTTTGTATTTTTAGTAGAGATGGGGTTTCACTATGTTGGCCAGGCTGGTCTTGAATTAATGACCTCATGATCCACCTGCCTTGGCCTCCCAAAGGCTGGGATTTACAGGCGTGAGCCACCATGCCTGGCCAAAATGCATATATATTCTTATGTGTGTCAAAAATATCTCCAGAAGGGTACTGAAAACTGCTAGGCAGGCAAATGCCTCTGGGGAGAGGCACTGGGTGGTGGTGGGTGCACTTTTTACATACCCTGTAGTATTTTTTGAACTTTGTACCAATGTGTAAATTATTTTTTCCAAAAACAACAATTTTTTAAAAATTGTATATGTATCCTATGTGACTCAACAGGACATGACTACAACCTAGACACCAAACTGTCAATTCTGATTGCTTCCGTTGTGAGATGTTTGCAGTTGATAAAAGGCATCTGAAATGACTGGCCTCTCTCTTTCAGCGAATCAATCCCTCTGCTGAGATGGTGATGATTGACAGGATGTTCAACCAGGAGGAAAGAGCTTCCCTATCCCGAGACAAGCGCCTGGCACTTGTAGACCCTGGTAAGAAACTTCACAGTGAAAGTAGACAGCTTCTGCCATGGTTCAGGGACTGTGGGGCCTTTGGGAGTCTGTCTGAACTTTGGGTAGGAAACCTGAAGGTAGGCCGGGCATGGCAGCTCACACCTGTAATCCCAGCTCTTTGGGAGGCTGAGCCGGGCAGGTCATCTGAGGTCAGGAGTTTGAGACCAGCCTGGCCAACATGGCAAAACCCTGTCTCTACTAAAAATGCAAAATTAGCCGAGTGTGGTGGTGCATGCCTGTAATCCCAACTACTGGAAAGGCTGAGGCAAGAGAATGGCTTGACCCCCTGGAGACAGAGGTCGCAGTGAGCTGAGATAGTGCCATTGCACTCCAGCCTGGGCAACAACAGCAAAACTCTGTCTCAAAAAACTTGAAGGTAAAATGTGAATTCTGGGGAGAGCTGGGCACAGTGGCTCACACCTCTAATCCCAGCTACTTCCTTCTCCTCCTTGGCCCGCACAGCCAGTGTTTGTTGGATGGAATCATCGTTTTAGATTTCAAGGCTATATGCCCTAGAACTCACATTTTAGAAGTTGGTGAACAAATTTCATGTTCACACTATACATATTCTTTGTGGTCTTATAGATGTCATCAAAGCCCCATTTTACTTCAGTTATTTCCAGAGTTAACATTTTTTCCACTCTTGCTCAACAGCAGTCTGCCTACTTCCACCTGTACCCTCAATGTTCTCAATCCTCACGGACATCTTTTTTGCCATCCTTGGGCTCTTGGAGCCTGGTGCAGTTGAGTGTTCACTCACAGACACAATTCCTGCATACCCACTGACTTCCATATTATTTTGGATGAGTGTTGACTATTCATTTTGTGGTCTTGGCAAAGTGATGCCAGGTTTCTCCTATGTGTCTACAGGTATTGAAGTGCCTTCACAAAGACAAATAGCTTTCTTCACCCAGAAAGTATGTAAGATAGATGGGTTTTCTGTTTCTTGGTATCTGTCCCCCTTCCCTGCAAAGCCCCATTCCAGGTCCTTCTGCTGTAAGGAAGAAACCAGGCTAATACCAGCACCTAATTTCTGTTTTCAGACCATTTCAAGAGGTCATTAGCTGAAAACTAATTTAAAATAATACTTAGAGGCTGGGCACAGTGGCTTACACCTGTAATCCCAGCAGTTTGGGAGGCCAAGGAGGGCGATCACTTGAGGTCGGGAGTTCAAGACCAGCCTGACCAATGTGGTGAAACGCTGTCTTTACTAAAAATACCTAAATTAGGCCGGGTGTGGTGGCTCACACCTGTAATCCCAGCACTTTGGGAGGCCAAGGTGGGTGGATCACGAGGTCAAGAGATAGAGACCATCCTGGTCAACATGGTGAAACCCCATCTCTACTAAAAATACAAAAATTTAGCTGGGTATGGTGGCACGTGCCTATAATCCCAGCTACTCGGGAGGCTGAGGCAGGAGAATTACCTGAACCCAGGAGGCAGAGGTTGCGGTGAGCCGAGATTACGCCATTGCACTCCAGCCTGGGTAATGAGTGAAACTCTGTCTCAAAAAAAAAAAAAAAAACCTAAATTAGCCAGGTGTGGTGGCAGTGCCTGTAGTCCCAGCTACTTGGGAGCCTGAGGCAGGAGAATCACTTGAGCCCAGGAGGCAGAGGTTTCAGTGAGCTAAGATCGTACCACTGCACTCCAGCCTGGGCAGCAGAGCAAGACTCTGTCTCAAAAAAATAAAATAAAATAATATTTAGAGATCAGGACTGAGTGCAGCATTTTACCCATCATGTTTTCCCATTTGTCATCAAGCATCTACCTTTTCAAAAGGTTTAAGCTTCCCATCTGGAAGCCAGGTCTCCACAGCCTCGGCTGCCTTTACAGGATGCTCGCTCAGGCTTTGGGTCCTGCTTCTGCATGTTCCTGTATGTGAAGCAGACAGACTCCACGAGCAGGACTGGCGTTGCCATCCGCACCTGACCCACTGAGGGTCTGTTGTGTAATCCCTGCTCTCCTAGTCACTCACTAATGTTCTTTTTGTTCCCATTTCCAGAGGGTTTTCAGGCTGATTTCTGTTGTTCCTTCAAACTTGATAAAGCTGCTCATGAGACACAGTTTGGCCGCAACGACCAGCATGGCAGTAAAGCTAGCAGCTCTCCACATCCACCGGCCAAGGCCCAAGGCAGAGACCGAGCCAAAACCAGTGTGACAGAACCCATGAATCATGACCAGTTTCATCTAGTGCCTAATCACATCGTGGTCTCTGCAGAAGGAAACATTTCTAAAAAAACAGAATGCCTTGGCAGAGCACTGAAATTTGACAAAGTGGGCTTAGTTCAGTGCCAGAGCATGTCTGAAGAGAAGGCCAGCCGGAGAGAGCCTTTGAAGGCCAGTGAGTGCTCTCCCGGCCCCGAAGGGCACCCGAAAACCTCATCCAGGTCGGATCACGGTACTGAGAGCAAACTCTCAAGCATCCTAGCGGATTCACACTTGGAGATGACGTGTAATAATTCCTTCCAGGACAAAAGTCTGAGGAATTCTCCAAAGAATGAAGTTTTACACACAGACATCATGAAAGGGTCAGGTGAGCCCCAGCCAGATCTCCAGCTGACAAAGAGTTTAGAAAACACATTTAAGAACATCTTGGAACTCAAAAAGGCGGGACGGCAGCCCCAGAGTGACCCCACGGTTAGCGGCTCTGTTGAGTTAGATTTCCCCAACTTTTCTCCTATGGCTTCACAGGAAAACTGCCTGGAAAAATTCATCCCGGACCACAGTGAAGGTGTTGTAGAAACTGACTCCATTTTAGAAGCAGCTGTAAATAGTATCCTAGAGTGTTAATAGCCGCAGTCCTCCCCTGACCCGCCCCAGACCCCACCCCGGACTAGTTACATTCTTTCCTGGCAAAAGCAAATGGAAATGGTCTCCTGTCTCCAGCCTGCTTGATCTTTCATCACAGGTTATTCTTTCTAATCTCAATCCTGTTCTTTGTTTAAGAGCAATACTTGTCGTGATTACAGGGAGATCCTTTAGTAAAATTAATCCTTGTTAGAAAGCAGTCTGATAGGCCCCACTCATTTCAAGTGTTATGAAAGTGCATATAGTCATTTTGTTTATTTGTTTTATTTTTTAAAAACACTGTAACTCCATGAGACCACAGTATACTTGGCCCTGCATAAAATTTTGACAATCATAAGTCATTTGAAAAGAACAGACTTAACTAAAATCAAATGAGACAGATAGAAGCTACTTTTTAAAGAATATCCCACTGCATCTCCAAATTTAGTTTTGGAGGTTTTTTTTAATTATTTTGAGTTTTGTGTGTATGTTTTATTGTTATTGAGGGGAAGGCCACATTATTCTTCCCCCTCAGCCATCCTTGAGCAGTAAATTGCTGGCTGCGCTGCCAGGGACCCGCAGCCCTGGTGGGAAAGCCAGTAGCACATAGCAGGGCATTGCAGAGCGTCCCTGTGGATGGTTCAAGTGGATGGTTCAAGTGCTTTTCTGATGCTCCTGGAGCAAAACCTCATGCTTTTAGGCATATCCATGCTGAAGTTCATCTAGGGAATGTTCTGTTCTTAGTTACAACAGCAGAATTTGAAATCATTTCACCAGGCTAAATAAAGGAAAATGGAAACCACTTAAGAGGCACAGTGTACAGGGGAGGCCGGGATAGAGCCATGAGGGTTATAATATTAATATGTATATATGTAAAAGCATATATATGTTAACTATTGAGAAAAAACAAGTTTTGCATTTATAATTGGATATAGTCAACATATGATGTATGTTTTTGTTTGTTGCTGGGTTTTGTTTCATTTAACCTCTCTTTGCACCCTCTCCCACAACTAATAACCAAGCATCAAAAGCACCTTCATTTGAAAATTATGTTGTAATTTTTCAGTTTAAACTTTAAGGGGACTTTGGCCTTGTTTTTATGCTTCTTGTCTGAGAACAGTAGTCACCCCGGCAGCAATTCATTACCAAAACACAGACAAACCAAAGGTAACCAGCTAGCCCACCACTAAAAGGAACTATCTGAGACATGAGATTCTCATTTGAGAGCCAAAGGATACGCCCTGTCACGGTTTGTGTTTGGCCCGTGCTCATAGTAGTGAGCATGGCTTATTGCTTTATTTATTTTTCTTTCTTGTCAGGAAGTGTTCTCCATTTTCCTTTCTTGTATACCTGTCCCAGGTTATCCCTTTTCTGTTGTTACCTTTATTCTCAATGTCATTGTAACCGTCACTTATCTCCTCTCATTGGGAAAGCTACATGGTAGTATTTTTATGCACTCTTCCACATATACACACACACGTGTCTCTGAGCTGCTCGGATCCAGAGGTCATTTTGGTTACCGTGTGTACACACTCACTCTCCCTCTTAGTGTGTGTACTTCCTCATTTTTCTCCCTGGCTCTAGAGGTGCATCCACTGGTCTCCACTTTCATGCGTTGCCAGAGTCTGCTTCTGGCTCTTGCCAGCATGGGGATGACCCTCACTGTCATCATGTTGGGCATTTCTTTTCCAGATTGGCCCGTGATGTAAAGGAAGGCTTCTGATTAGAAAACACAGCAACAGAAGACCTGTACCCCATGCCCTTTTGTCCCACTACACACAAAAAAAAACCCTATGAGATGGCCAGTCTTCAGAATAGCAACGTACCTTCACCCCAACCACTTGCCCCAGCCAATACAAATTGGAAAACCTGGGCCATTTTAGGGTTACTGGTTTTTCCTTATTTGTGCCAATATCGAACTTGCAGATTTCCCCTTTTTCCTGTATTGTAACATATTAGAAAGATAAGTTGGTGTTGCCAGTGGGTACTTTGTGTTTGGGTGGCCCTGGGATAACACCCTGCCCTGAACTCCATGATTTCATAGGCTCTTCTTCCCTTAGGCCTCATGCTCCCCTAATTCCTAGCAAGACTTAAAGATGATCCCTCCTAATCAAATTCTCATTGTGAAACTTTATACCTGTCAGCTGCTAATGAGTTACATTAATTACTGCAAATCAGTGGAATTCTCAAGAGACAAGATAAGCTTCATGTACATTTGTCACCTCTCTTTCTTCCCTATCCTGCCCTGCTGTCCCGATCCTAGCTTTGCTATATACCATCTTAAAGGGTTTTTAAGCCCTAACGCTTGTTAGCAAATGGAGAGCCTAATTTACCAAAATGAAACTTGTAAATTTTTGTGTCTTTGTATGTAAGTTTACTTTTTATGGAGGAAGGATTCTAGATAATGACAGATGAAGATTATGAAATGTATTTTACTCCCGTGATTAGGTTCTACACACATGGATCATAACTCGCGTGTCGAGCCCCCTCTGGTGAAGGGTAGGAGAGCTCAGCCTCGGATGGCCAACATTCAGTTGTTCAGGTTCATTAGTCAAAGTTACGTTTTAGAACTATTTGTACTCAGTAACAAATAACATTTTCTTTTTTTTTTCCTGTTGTTGTGGAAAAGTGTGAATTTGTTATTAAGCATTTGATTTTCTGTGTCCTTAAGTACTTCCTAAAGATAAAGCAAAATTTTAATCTGGCAATTACAAAAAAAATATTTTAGCTCTGAAGGATTTAGTAGATTCTGTTAGATTAGGGAGGCCTTACAGACTGACTTGACTGAAAGAGGACGCGTCACTCGCTGTCAGTGTGGTGTGGGCTTTGTTTGCTTAAATACCTTCATTTGTATAGTATGTCTCACTTGAAATTGCTTTGTATACATTTTGTAAAAATATTTATAAAATGTTTTGTAAAAAAAAAAAAAGTATAACAAATTGCAGTTTATTTTGTTATGTTGGATAAATACTGTTAAAAGAAACCAGTCAGTAACTATATTGTTAATCCATGGTTAGGAAATGTTTAGATGGAGATTACAAAATGAAACAACCATTGCAATACAGCCAAAGATTTGGGAAAATGTGCAACTGTGATTGTCTTGATTTTGCAAATAGGAATGGCTGCTTTTCCCAGAAGGAAAGGGTAAGTGTTCAATGAGAATTCTATTTCAATAGATTAACCATTACCAAAATCAATTTACCCCAGTCAGAGAAAGGATAGGATTTTAATTGATTGGCCTTTCCAAACAGTTACAAATTAATGAAGCTGGTCTGTGAGGAGGTTTGGTCCCGTGCACCTCTGGCCTCCATCCCCACTCCTGTTGCATAAGTCCTTAGCTATGGAAGGAAAAGTGGGGTCATGTGAAAAGTCAGGTAAGTGAGCCTCACTCTGCAGGAGGTTTTCTTCAGTTGTTATGTTTGTTTCTGCAAGGACAAGGAGAAAGCTAAGGGATAAATGACTTTACATAAGACATATTCCAGAATTAACATGTTTCTCTTTGGATTCAACATATTTGACCAAATGTATTGAAAAATAACTCTATAACCTTATGTATAAAATCAGCCCAGGCCAGGCGCGGTGGCTCAAGCCTGTAATCCCAGCACTTTGGGAGGCCGAGGCAGGTGGATCACGAGGTCAACAGATCGAGACCATCCTGGTCAACATGGTGAACCCCGTCTCTACTAAAAATTACAAAAAATTAGCTGGGCACGGTGGCGCGTGCCTGTAATCCCAGCTACTCGGGAGGCTGAGGCAGGAGAATTGCCTGAACCCAGGGGGCGGAGGTTGCGGTGAGCCGAGATTGCGCCATTGCACTCCAGCCTGGGTAACAAGAGCAAAACTCCGTCTCAAAAAAAAAAAAATCAGCCCCATGAGGCCCTTCTGAATTCCTGCCCTCACAATTTTCCACCCAAATTGTTAGGGAAGCTTCTGTATTTCTGGGGACAAATTGTTCTTTAGGGCTTAGAATTTACACTTGTACTGTCTTATGGTTTAATTAGATTCTCCCCTGTGTCCTAAGAGCAGTAGGAAATCAAGATTCAGCAATAATCAGTACATAAATAGAAAGTCATTCTCTAAAAAGAAAGAAAGCAACAAAGAAAGTCATTACTGGCGGGGCGTGGTAGCTCATGCCTGTAATCCCAGCACTTTGGGAGGCTGAGGCAGGCTGATCACTTGAGGTCGGAGTTCATGACCAGCCTGGCCAACATGGAGAAACCCCGTCTCTACTAACAATACAAAATTAGCCAGGCATAGTGGCTCATGCCTATAATCCCAGCTACTCAGGAAGCTGAGGCAGGAGAATTGCTTGAACCAGGAAGGCAGAGGTTGCAGTGAGCTGAGATTGCACCATTGCACTCCAGCCTGGGCAACAAGAGCAAAACTCCATCTCAAAAAAAAGAAGTCATTCTCAAATAACTAACAGAATGGCATTAAGGAATCTGTCCACTGATGTCATATACAGTGTTGCCCTGATGTCAAGTTTCACTTCTTGCTAAGGATAAATGTGTGTCCAGAATGGCATTTTTGTCCCTCTTCAGGTCATTTACAATGGGAGTGTCCCAGGAATGAATAATTAAAAGGAAGGATCATCTGGCTGCTAAGTTAGGATCTGTGTCTGTTCCCTGGGGTCATGCCTAGAGGAAAGACAGGCATCTTCTCTTTAGCCTGAGTTAAAGCCCTCAGCCCTGTGTATGGGAGAACATTCCAGGAAAGGGGCCCTAGCGCTCCCTGACACAGAAAGTGGCTGGTGAATTACTGGGGGAAAGGTAAGGGAAAAGAAAGAAACCTTTACAATGTGGGGGCTCTGGAACAGCACTGCTCAGGCAGGGTTCTAGCTATGCTGTTCTCAAAGGGCTAGGCCCTGGCGTCCAGGGTCATGGATTATTAACCAACAATATTACTTGAACAGTTGACTGTGTGGCAGGCACTATGCTAGACATTGGGATATACAGATAATTCAGACAAACTTTCTGCTTTCAAGGGGCTCAGAGTATACAGGGGGAACAAGCACACAAATATACATTACATTCAGGAACTGACTAGAGTTCAGGAGAGAAGAAAACGGTATGCCACAATTTTTCTGGGCTGGGCATGTGGCTCATGCCTGTAATCCCAATGCTTTGGGAGTCTGAGGCAGGAGGATTGCTTGAGGCCAGGAGTTCGAGACCAGCCTGGGCAACACAGTGAGACCTATCTCTACAAAAAAATTTTAAAATTAGCCAGGCAGGCCAGGCACAGTGGCTCACGCCCAGCACTTTGGGAGGTCAAGGCAAGCAGATCACCTGAGGTCAGGAGTTCAAGACCAGGCTGACCAACATGGTGAAACCCTATCTCTACTAAAAATGCAAAATTAGCTGGGTGTGGTGGTGGGCACCTATAATCCCAGCTACTTGGGAGATTGAGGCAAGAGAATTACTTAAACCCGGGAGGTGGAGGTTTCAATGAGCCAAGATGCGCCATTGCACTCCAGCCTGGGCAACAAGAGTGAAATTCTGCTGGTGCAGTGGCCCATGCCTATAATCCCAGCACTTTGGGAGGTGGAGGCTGGTGGATCACAAGGTCAGAAGTTCGAGGCCAGCCTGACCAACATGGTGAAACCCTGTCTCTACTAAAAATACAAAACTTTAGGCGGGCATGGTGGTGGGCACCTATAATCCCAGATACTAGGAGGCTGAAGCAGGAGAATCACTTGAACCCAGGAGGCGGAGTTTGCAGTGAGCCAAGATTTAGCCACTGCACTCTAGCCTGGGTGATCAAGTAAGACTGTGTCTCAAAAAAAAAAAAAAAAGTGAAATTGCGTCTCAACAAATTAGCCAGGCATGGTGGCACATGCCTATAGGCCCACCTACACAGGAGGCTGAGGCCAGAGGATTGCTTGAGCCCAGTTCAAGGCTGCAGTGAGCCATGATCATGCTACTGCACTCCAGCCTGGATGACAGAACAAGACCCTGTCTCAAAAAATAAAATTCATCTGAACTGCCACTATAAATTGCACAGAGAACTGTAATTTACATTTCCATGCCCTGGTTCTTAGTAGTTTCCTGAGTTATACTTGAGAAAAAAATATATACTTTCTTCAGTAACAAATATAAAAGACTTTTGTAATTAATTGTTAATTATGTGGAGAAATCTGGTTCAGTATGCTCACATATGGCAGGAGCACATATGTAGTATAAAGTGGATTCTGTAATATGACCTGCCTGCCTACACTACTGCAGGTAAAAGCCTTTTACAAGAAACTCAGGCTGGGCGCGGTGGCTCATGCCTATAATCCCAGAACTTTGGGATGCCAAGGCAGGAGGATTATTGAAGGTCAGGAGTCTGAGATCAGCCTGACCAATATGGTGAAACCTCATCTCTACTAAAAATACAAAAATTAGCCTAGCATGGTACACCTGTAGTCCCAGCTACTCGGGAGGTTAAGATAGGAGAATCACTTGAACCCAGGAGGCAGAGGTTGCGGTGAGCCGAGAGTGCACCACTGCACTCCAGCCTGGGTGATAAGAGTGAGACTCCATCTCAAAAAAAAAAAAAGGAAAGAAACCCTAATCTCTATTACTCTTGGGTATGTGCTGGAGTCTGTCCTTTGAAACCAATTGCAAAGGCAAGAAGTTCCTTGGGAAAAAATTACTTCATGAAGGTCAAGGAAAGCAGTTCAACTGGGTGGGCAAAAAACGCCTTTGGCAGCAGAATGTGGAAATGGGTTTTCATACTCCATCTATCATATAATCACATATCTTTATACAACTTAACTCTCAGTCACAGTGTCTTTGCCCATAAACTAGGAAAACTGGTCTTGACCCCTACTTCTTCGGGTCTAAAGTGTGTTACTAAGGCCAGGCAAGGTGGCTCACGCCTGTAATCCCAGCACTTTGGGAGGCCAACGTGGGTGGATGACCTTCGGTCAGGAGTTCAAGACCAGTCTGGTCAACATGGTGAAACCCCGTCTCTGCTAAAAAAAAATAATAATACAAAAATTATCAGGGCGTGGTGGCAGGTGCCCATAATCCCAGCTACTCAGGAGGCTGAGGCTGGAGAACTGCTAGAACCTGGGAGGTGGAGAGTGCAGTGAGCCGAGATCGTCTACTACACTTCAGCCTGAGTGACAGAGCAAGACTCTGTCTCAATTAATTAATTAATTAATTAATTTTTTTTGAGACAAAGTTTCGCTCGTTACCCAGGTTGGAGTGCAATGGCACAATCTCAGCTCACCGCAACCTCCACCTCCTGGGTTCAGGCAATTCTCCCGCCTCAGCCGCCTGAGTAGCTGGGATTACAGGCACGTGCCACCATGCCCAGCTAATTTTTTGTATTTTTAGTAGAGACGGGTTTCACCATTTTGACCAGGATGGTCTTGATCTCTTGACCTCATGATCCACCTGCCTCGGCCTCCCAAAGTGCTGGGATTACAGGCGTGAGGCACCGCGTCCGACCAATTAATTAATTAATTAATTCAATGTGTGTTACTGAAGAACTATAGAAAGTCAAAAGAGCAAGTCAGAGGCAGTGGCTCATGCCTGTAATCCAAGCTGAGGTGGGTAGATCACCTAAGGTCAGGAGTTCAAGACCAGCCTGGCCAACATGGCGAAACCTCATCTCTACTAAAAATACAAAAAATTACCTGGGCACGGTGGCACAAGCCTGTAGCCCAGCTACTCAGTCTGAGGCAGGAGAATCACTTGAAACCAGGAGGTGGAGGTCGCGGTGAGCCGAGATCATGCCACTGCACTCCAACCTGGCTGACAGTGAGACTCCATCTCAAAACAAAAAAAAAAGTAAAAAGAGCCATGTTCCATTATGCTTGAAATAATTCAGAAGTTTGGGTTGTTCTGGTTTGCTTTTAGTCTTACCTGCTACATACTTTCACCTTCCTACCCCAGCTTTCCTGTCTATCCTCAAGTCTCAAAAGCCCCTCACCTGTTTTCTGCTGTTCCTTTCCACTTTTGCTACCGTATGCTTGTTTTTCATCAGGATCAAAAGCTGTTGTCCACATTGTCTTCCTCAACTCCAGGTTCATCTACTGCTCTCATACTAATCTCTTTCCTACCTGCTTCCAGATAACCCCTTGTCACTCTCCAA